CCGGGGATAAAAAGTGTGGTCAGTAGCCAGGCTTCTACTGAACACTTTTTTGTCTACGTTGACCAAGTTGCTGCCGGTCAACATTGGCCGGAAAGGTGCTGAGGACATTTTTAGGACTGGTGGCCGGGGATGAAAAGAGTAGTGAGTCCCAGGCCTCTACCGGACACTTTTTTGTCTTCGTTGACCAGGTTGCTGCCAGTCAACATTGACCGGACAGGTGCTGAGGATATTTTTAGGACTGGTGGCCGGGGATGAAAAGAGTAGTGAGTCCCAGGCTTCTACCGGACACTTTTTTGTCTTCGTTGACCAGGTTGCTGCCAGTCAACATTGACCGGACAGGTGCTGAGGATATTTTTAGGACTGGTGGCCGGGGATGAAAAGAGTAGTGAGTCCCAGGCTTCTACCGGACACTTTTTTGTCTTCGTTGACCAGGTTGCTGCCAGTCAACATTGACCGGACAGGTGCTGAGGATATTTTTAGGACTGGTGGCCGGGGATGAAAAGAGGGATCAGTACTCTGCCTTCTACCGGGCACTTTTTTGTCTTCATTGACCAAGTTCATGCCGGTGAACATTGGCCGGATGAGTGCTGGTCACCTTTTTGAGGCGGGTGACCAGGGAGGAAACAAAGACTTGGTGGCCAAGCCCTTCCCGAACATATTTTGGTGATTGGTTGCCAATGGAAAAACTAAGACTCTGTGGCCGGGGACTTAATAGTGATCTTTTGGGGACCTTTGGCCAGCTGCTTTCCAGTGGCCGGGCTGGCCAGGCAGGTGCCGAGCAAAAATCAGGCATTGGCCAGTGTCGGGCCAAAATTTTGTGCTGCCTGGGTAGTGTTGGAGTAGAAGAGCTTAACCCGGTTAGAGCACAGTCGTTTGGCATCTTTCTTCGCCCCAAGTTTGCCCTGGGGCATTTCTACGTCCTCTGGCGTCAACGCTTTGCCGTCGCCTAGTCGTTCCAAGAATCAGGAGAATCTGGTATCCCTCTGTCGTACAGCTGTGGTGAACTCGTGGAATTCAGCTGTGCTCTGCGGCTTGTGCACAATAATTCCGGTAGATGTACCAGATGTATCTGGCATGTATACAGGCTTTGTTTCGGACAGGTGGTAACTTGCGCGAGTATCCTACTAGGTAAAAAATTGAAATTCAGCGAGTCGTTTTTGGAGCACACGGTCCCGAAATCATGAATTGTGCAGCTGGTCCGTACCGTAAAACTTTACGTGAAATTAGACATATTTTAGAGAACCGTAAAATTGGTTTAACCATGTAAACGATAATGATTATTGCGTTTGACCGGAAGCACCATTTTCTAGCAAACCTGTGAAACATTCTGCAGCGTACAAATCCGTGGCGGCTCGTGTTTCTTGCGTACGACTAAAGTAAACAAGACGGCCGACTTAACATTTACCGGCCCAAATTTCAAGACCTGTGAAGCTAGATAGAGTAAAACGTGTCCGAACGACCATCACCTTAAACTTGATCGACCGTTCACGTTGTGTGGCGTTGAACCAAATCATTTCGTCTGCTCCCGATCGCCACGACAGCTAGTTCACCAGCAGATCGCGAACATTTACTAGCACGTGTATTTACAGCATTCACGATCGCTTACGATTGTGAGCACTCCTCGAAATGATTTGGTTCAAAATCTGAAGTGAGGCAGAGTAACAAGATGGGAAATCGCCTCCCGCTGTTCTAAGCCTAACTCTCTTCTGGGTTGGCGAAGTCCGTCAATAAACCGACCGCGATATTTTATTACATGAGTTGTGAACGTTGCTGGCTGTGTTGCGGTGATGATTCCAGCGGTTGAAATGAGAAAGACGAAAGAGAGGAGCCTCCCGAAGCCCCCAACGACTCGCGCGAGCATGCGCAGTGGCGTCGTCGATGCGTTCAAGGACGGGCCGTTCGTGTGAAAACCACTCGCTAAAATTCCCTAATGTCAAACCCGCCAAACGGTTCGTTCCATTGTGCATTCTGCATTAACCACATCATTAGCGCCCGAAGGACCGTCGATCCCATCATGCTCACCTCGTGAACTGCAATGCTCTTGCACGGCCACTCGATTAGGACTCCCTCTTGATACAGTTAAACGCGCCCTATGTGAGTTTAGATCTCTGTAGCTCAGTCGGTTATCACCCACGGCTAGAATCTTGAGTGCAGACTTCGCAGTGGTTCCGCTGATGGCCGTGGCCTCTCTTACGGTTATCTCCATCATGGTGTATGCTTTCAATTCCGGGTCAGTATAGAGTCGATTGTACGTTTTGGCCACTAGCTTGATCGTGTATGAGTTGCCGGTTCTTGCGTAGCCTCTCACAAACACGAGTCGGTGTGGCTTCATGCAGCATAAAGAGGTGAATCATTTCCGAGATCAGCGATCGTAGTTCGATGTTGGTAGCCCTTACGCCTTTATAGTATTGGGCCGCGGGTATAAGTTCGCTTCCTGTTCTGACGGCTGCACGGTAGTGGTGCAAAACTATCGATACTACTATCGATAGTATCGATAGTCGCCACAAAATCTGACTATCGACAGTAAAAATAAAACTATCGATAGTACTATCGATAGTCGACTATCGAAAAACTATCGACAGTACTATCGATAATCGACTATCGAAAAACTATCGACAGTACTATGCATAGTCGACTATCGAAAACCTATGGATAGTACTATCGATAGTCGGCTATAGGAAAATTATCGTTAATCGACTATCGGGAAACTGTCTATAGCGAACTATCGTAAACATATCGATAATACTGTCGACGGTTTACTATCGATAGTTTTGCGACACTAGCAGTTTGCGTCCCTCCTCTTCTTTTTCTCGCTTAATTTTTTTCAAATGGGACACGTACCACAACTAGCCCAAGCACTGACCATCCCAACTTTGGTTCGGTTTTCAGTGATGACGAAGAAGGGAGTTTGGGCGGAGAGGAGGAAGGGAGGTTAGCGGCGATGTGGCAACTGTGTTCGCTTTAGTGGTGCAAAACGATCGATAGTATCGATAGCCGCCAGAAATTTCAGTATAAATTGTAAAAAAGATGATCGATAGCCCACTATCGAAAAACTATCGAAAGGCTATCGATAATACTATTGATAGTCGACTATCGACAGTCAATTCATCGATAGTTTTGCATCACTTCTGCATGTCTGCCTCCCTTCCTGGCGACGACGTGTTCATTGAAGTCTGCATTTTCTTCCAGCCGAAATGTTATAGTATCTTAAAAAAAAAATACTTGGACACAAACCCTCCACTAAAAATATTTATGTCGCGGGTAGATAAACATCGCATCGCGTCGTTTCTATAAAACTCTGGGTGCCTAATTTTTATTTCATCTTGAAAGTAGGCTCGAAAATCTCTCACGATATTTAAAAAATATCTCACGTTGGATTACCTGCTAGCGAACTGCGATGTTAGTGGCGTTTTCTTTTTTTGTTTTTTTTTCGCGCTTTTTTTAAGTTAGAAACAGACGCACAAAGCTCAGCTTGATGGAAACGAAACGATGGGATGTTTTGAGACACGCTCTACAATATTTTTACTAAAAGGTTTGCAAAAAATGACATTTTTTTTAAAGTTAGCTAGCTAACCTTTTAAGTTGCAGTCTGGCTCATTGTAAGACACATCTCCTCTTTGTCAATATGACTAAATAGGCCTGAGTTAATTTGGCTCACGCAGCGTGCGCCAAACCTTTTTTAAGTCTTGGCCCAAGCTAGCTAAAACACCCTTAGAACTTCAAGTGAACCCTTTCAATTTGATTCATGAATAAAGCCATTAGCTTTTCTTTCGAAAACCCTCCAATTGGTTTATATACTTTTGAGATTTTGGGTCGCATAAAATATCAGAGTATACCAGAATTGAACGAATTAAAGGCAAATGTGCCACAACCTTTGTTGCATGAGTGCAACATCTTGCTTAGTAAGCAGCACATGTTACGAAATTTTTGTGACAACTTTTTTATTGATAAACAAGCGTAATTTAATGTTAGATGTCACAATCAAATACCTATGTGCATTGACTAGTTCTAAAGCTGTAGGGTGAGCAATAAAGTCACGCGCGTCGCCAACCAAACGCGTGCGTAACCGACATAAAAAAAAAAGGTCTGGGTGACCGAGTGGTTACCGTTATTGGCTTTCGCGCGAAGGCCACGGGTTCGATTCCTAGGAAGGACGCGTCCTTTTTCTTCAATTTTTTTTAACGCGGCAACATAATGGACTCCTCATGGCGAGCCGCACTTATTGTCGCCCCAGCGTTTGATGCTGCTGTTTCGTCACCATCGACGCTAGCGTTTTTCTATATTGTTTTGGGCACACGTTCACCCCTTTAATCGTTTGGTTTGCTTCAGTCATCATGGCCTCATAAATTTTCATTCTCGACAATATAAAGAAGAAAATTTAATGTCTTGTAACGGTACCGGTTAGAGTTTATGGCTTTTTGGGGCAGTATGCATTTTTAAAGTAAACTAAATTTGGCGCCAATTCGTTTACGATCAAGCTGAAGCGCTGTGCGCTGAACACACTTCAAAACTAAAAGTCTAACACTAATGCCTGTCAACAGCAGTCCCGATGATAATGACAGAAAATTGAGTTTTCTTGAAGTTATTTTCTCCACAGACTTGTCTCGATTTGATTCCTGATAAGTTTGACAACGATGATCATGATGCCCATAGTAACCGGATAGAAGGCTTCGGCGGTAGCAGATTAAATAATTAAAGGTAATAAAAATTATAATTCAATATAAGGTATTTCGTGAGTTTAATCACGTAGCTTCAATACCTGATAATTATTGCTCGACTCCTCTCCACATAACAGGGTATTGCATGTGGCCCCTCATGTCCCCAGAAACACGTATTACATATTGATGTTTCTTTTATCAATATGAATGTGTCGTTTACAATAAAATAAAATCCAAATTCGTATTCAACTGACTGAAATATTTAAACTCGTCGTACTGCACTGAATCATTGCTTCGCATTATGGGAATTAAAACGCTGTATTTTTTTTTCTTCCTGGGAAGTATCTACGCATGCGGTACGGCAACGAGGTTGGACTTACGGCTTGCATCATCTATTTCGTCCTCAGTGTAAGTGCATCTTTTGTGTCAACATTCAATATTATAACACGCCGTTTACTGTATTTTGTTATTCAGCAAATCCTTGGTGCAGTGGCGCTATACACCGCAGCAACGGCAGTTTCAACAAGTAAGCTCATAACTGTTGTGTTGTAAAGTAACATTTCATTGCTTTTTATTGAAATGAATCAGCAGAGAAGATTCTGGTAGCTTTAAGACATTGGATCGATGCACGTGGACTCGAGAGGCATTGACATGTTAAAAAGTTGCAACTCCCACAAGCACAGATTTTCAAACCACAAGTGGAGTGCGGAAAGGAACGCATCTTCCTCTCGTAGATGAGTAGTCCTCAGCTAATACGTTTTATTGGAATGGTATTGTTACTTACAGTCTCATAATATCATGGAATACTCAGAAATGCCGGTAGGCGTTTTGGGTACAAAGAATAGTCTCGCACTTTGATGTAATATAAAGTATGGAAATAAAACACGTACGCTCTAAATGGACATTCAAAATAGAAATATATGTTAGAGGTGAAAATAGAAAACACGCGGCCAATATATTTTGACATCTTACTAGAAGTTGCAATATTACTTTCCATTATTCTGTTAGCACAACAAAATTTCACACATCCTGCTTCAACTCAAGGCATCGGAGCATCTCTCACAAGAGGACCCAGATGTGTCGTTCTTTGTTATTCGCTATCAATTCAGTACGAATTTAGAAAGACCAAAATGAATGCGAAATGCCACCCGAACCTTCAATCTCATTAAATCTTTTAGAGGGAACGGTTGTTTCTGAAAATTATGGCCTGTATAGCTGTAAAAGAGCGGAATTTGTTTAAGTGATTCATACCTGTATTGTTTACCTAATGCTCGTCGTCCTGTAAGTTTTCAGACTCTCCCTCGTAAGATGCAGCTTTGTCATCGGAATGACTGGGACGATATACACCTCCTTGGTGAGCGCCACATGTTTGACCAATATCTTTCTAGGTTCTTATCTGGGGAAGTTTATATTAACTATTTACAAATTCCCCACTTGCCCAAAAGCCGGAGGTGATTGAAAACCTTCAGCCTGCCTAAGGCGATCTCATGTTTTATGAATGGTAGATAACCATCCATGAGCGCCCTCGAGTTGTCTAAAGCAAATAAAATGAACACGTGTTTTTATTTAGATATTGTTTGCTATGGATTGTGTGATGTTATATCTTAGATGTGAAAACTGCTTCCAGTGCACTGAGTTGTATGCAAAATGAGGGGTTTGCCAAGGCTTTCACGTCGTGCTTGTGTTTATGCTGTGTCTTTGAGATCAAATGTAGCGCGGTTTCGCATTATACTGGATTTCTTGGCTAATGAAGCATATAATTGAAACGATGGCCAATTGCATCTGCGTAAGTTTGGGGAAATTATTTAGGACTACAGAACAAGCAGTGAAACCCAATACAAATGGAAAAGCTATCAACGATCCGTTTGTGCCTTGGTTGAGTTCATAGTTGCAAAATATGCCCTAAATACGATGACATGGCGGTGGTCAGGGCAGATTATATACACGTGCGTTGAAATCGGCAGCAACCCTTTCCTGTAAAATTCATAAATTCATGAAATCCGCTATTTAATGTCGATCGTCTAAAATCATTTAGAAGACAATAAACTGCCGTTTCAGGAATTGAAGAAAAACCTTTTCTTCCAAAAAGTTCCCGCTACATTGAGATGGCAAACTGGATGCATACGCCACGTGGCACCATATCCCCCCTAAACTTAGCGGTAAACCTAATGCACGTATAGATAACGTGACGTCAATATTTCCGCCAGATTTAGTGGGGAAATTGTATTGATCTACATGTCAAGAGTAGTCAGGTTACGTGATGTCAACTTCCCGTCAAGCTTAGCAAGGGATCGCAAGGTGTTTAAGTCACGTCACATCAAACTCCCCGTCAAGCTTGGCGCGGGAATTAAATTGGTGTAGAGGCCACGTGACATCAGGCAACATGACATCAATTTTCCGCTCTATTTATCGGGAAACTAGATTAGTGTATAGGTCTCGTAACATCATGTAACGTTTTACCAATGTTTAGTTTTATGTAGAGGGGAAAGTTAAGTGGTGTATAGGTAACATGACTTCAGGCCACGTAACATTAAATTTCCTGCTCAATTTAACAGGGGAAGCGAATTAATGCACAGGTCACAACAGGTCAAGTCACATTAAGTAAAGGGTCCCGCTAATGCTAGCGGGGAAACAAAATTGGTGTATAGATCCCGTTACATCAATTGACTATATAATCTAAGCACTACTTCAATTTTCCCGCCAAATTTAGCGAGAAATTCACAGACTCATGGACAGACAAATTGTTGGGATTGGGGGTACCGTCAGAAAGAAATTCGTGCTTTGAAATAAAATAAACACAGTATTGCATCCGATGTTTTCAAAGGCCGATAATTTCCACACATAATACCCAAAGACAAGGTAGCAGAGTTTTGTGGGCAGAATGAGTTTTTTGTAGGAATTTAGGAGCCCGGAAACACGAAGACACAAGTGTAGAACCAAGCCTGGCATTCCTTGAGGTGGGCCTGGGTATGGTGGTACTTAATACTCAAACATGGGCCAGAGCTAGGCTTCACTGCCCTACTAAATAAGCGGTGTGAAATTTGAACGGAGTGCAAGCTGGTAGACCCGTTGAGGTCGAAATGTAATTTGGAATACGGGTCCCCGTGTGACACGGTTACCTGTACAATACCGGCGCCCGTTTGATACGGGCACCGGTAGTTATGGGTACCCATTTGATACGGCACCCTCTTGAATAGGCCATTGAGATACTGGCCCAGATTTTTCGCTAGCCACAAATGGGTATCCTATGAAATCGGTCGACTCAGCACAGGCCAATAACGAGCCTGTGATAGTTTCTTCGGCAGACAAATTCGTTAGAGTAGTTTGGATAGGACAACTCTAACTAATTGAACTTGAACTTGACGTTAAACTTGACTCCTATTCACAAGCAAAAATGAACAGAAGGCAGATATGAATAAGCCATTGATGTATATGTTCCCTGCACTGCGCCAGCTTAATTCTATAAACGAGTTTGCCACGGCGAGTAGTGGCTGTGATTCGGCTTGAATTGTGGAGGTCTGAAGAGAATTAGAGGAAGCCGGACAAGGAAGGCGAACGCGGAACCGCGACTCGGAGAATATGAAGCCAACCGCAATGCCAGGGTCGAAAGGTCGCTACACACGCTCACAAATTCAAACATGCATGACACAAACAAGCGGGAGGACACGCGAGGTGTTTATTCCTTCGATAACGCGCGATAAATGAAACAATGTACTCCGTTTCACATTACCAAGGTATCGCATCAGACGCTACAAGCCATCGCAGCCAATTCAGAGCCGTACGAGTGGCACGATTGACCCTCGGGAAGGACACAGCAAACCTTAGTCGCATGACACATTTAGAGAGCTGGATTGGTTGAAATGGCTTGCATCGTCCGTATTGAAAAATGTTATTTGTATGAGGAAGTGCTGTGTCCAATAAACACATATAAATCACACAAGACTTATAAGAACCATATAAGAACCACATGAAAATTACAAAGGTAATATATAAGATATATAAAAAAATGAAGGCCGTTTACAATTCCCTGTAACGCCGGTTTAGAGCGCAGCTCTTGAGGAGGAGGATGGAAGCGTACTGAGGGATAGGTGACTCCTTGAGGTCACGTGACCTCAAGGGGGGTCGTGTGACGTCAGGGGGTCACGCGACCTCTGGGGGAGGGGTCACGTGACATCAGGGGGTCACGTGGCCTCGGGGGGTCACGTGGCTCAAGGGGGTCATGTGACTTCCGGGGGGGGGGGAGGTCGCGTGACCTGGGGGGTCACTTGACCTGGGGGTCACGTGACCTCGCGGTTACGCCGACGCCGACGCCAACGACGACGCCGACGCCGCTCAAGCCGGAAACGGGCCCCTAAGAGCTGCGCTCTAAAACATATAAGAACCACTTAAGAAACTTGTGAGAGGTTGAACACAAACAAATTATCATACAAATGGCTTTTTCACCAGGGATCCGCTGCAGTTTATCGCAAGGCGAAACAGAATAGAGTGAAGGCGAGGGGAAACAGAACTCAGGTTGTTGCTCTTTCCTGAGAGTATGGTGGGAGGTTTTAGGCAGAACGCATGTCTCCCATGTCCCAACGAATTCAAGTTAAACAAAATCGTATTTTTCGCGCACAATATGTGAAGAAACGAACGCGATAGCTGTAGCACGGTCGCCCAATGTGGGTGGAACGGTGTCGGCACATACCTGAAGACGAAGGTGCGACGTGGTTATTTCTCATAGCCGTAGTGGTTGCAGTCATAGATGCCACTGACGATCGGTTCACGAGTGCTCGGTAATGCTTTAAGTAAGTGGGAAAGCGCAGTGAAAGTTTCTAAAACCGTTCATAATTACGCGTAGCAACTGACTAGTATCCAAGTGGGACTTTCTGTAACGCGAGTAATGTTTGAAAACAAATGTTTGATGCAAACGAAAGGAAGACTCTCCCTCCGTCGTGCTGTTACTGGCGGGATGCCGGGGCTCCTCTCTATTCCCTCTCCGCGCTGCGCGGTCGATAGAAAAACCCGACTTCCCTTTTTTTCGTGCCAACAGAAGAGAAAAGAAAGGTTGCCCCTTTTCGTCCTCTCGCGCCAAGAAGGGAGAGAAGAGTCTTTCCATAGCGGCGAGGACAACCCAGGAGCTCGAAATTCCTGCAAATTGTCGTCCGCAAAGCTATCGCTTCAAAGAATGAAGTCCCCGGGAGTGGGAAAGCTTTATCTCTCTTTCTTTCTCCTTTTCACACCTAGCAGCGAAGCAGTGATATAACACAACAGAAAACTGATTTTATCAAACTGCTTACCGGTTTTACCAATCGGTGAGCAGTTTTAAATCGGTTCGCCACGCCGCTGTGGGATGTGAACAGCTCCGCGTACCACTAAGCTGAAACAAGCAAGCGGTTTCATCAAACCTGAGAGCAGTTTGTGCAAACCGTTGTCCCGTACGATCAAACCGGTGAACAGTTTAACTAGTCAGCTAAGTGAATGTTTGAACCTGTTACCGGTATGGTAGAATGGGTACCGTTTGAAACCTCTTCGGAAGTTTATTTTATTTTTTTTAGAAAGGCGACTGATAATTTGCAAGTGACATCATTGGGCGTCAATCCCTTAGCAAAGACTTTAGTTGTCTTTCACTGCTGGTTGTTCAGATGTCACTTGGCATCTTTGAACTCTAACTCCCAAGGAAATAGCCAAGTTAAGCTACATTGCTGATCGTTCTGTTATCACCAGACTTGTACTTAAGCCGTTACCTGCATTTAGTTATGTGTCTTGGTAAAACGGTCAAGTCCTCCATGACTTTTGCGTTATTACTGTCTTTGGGTATGTTTCACGATCTTTATTCCATTATTGTGAGCCGTATCATCACTAGGAAAGTTCGGCAAATATATTTAGCGTATTTAAATAAACGGATGCCTCCCTCTTCTTTAACAATTTCCGCGGAACCTAAGCATTTTTCTTTGTTCTTGGAATAATTAGTTGTTTGTACCCTTTCATTTCTCAGGGCGGACTAAGGGGTGTCGTCTGGACGGACTGTTTGCAGGCGGTACTAATGCTCGCTTCGCCTCTCACGGTCATTGGAAAGGTCATCTACGACGCCAATCACAAAAGCCTAAATTTGCGACCCATGAGCGACTTCGACATAAGACCATACATGCTAGAGTGAGTCAACGTTTTTAATGCTCCTCCAAATACCACCTGGGATTCAAGGCCCACGCCTTCAGCTCCCGAATGCTTTTAGTGAGTGGATTCATACAGAGTCATCTACCTGGCGTCAGCATCATCGCCAACGAGTGTTGCAGGGTCTCACAACGAACGCGACGTTTGCGCGCGGCGACGCCAAGACGAACGTTGTTTTACGCTTTACGTCATAGTTTGCTGCTTGGAGCATTTCTGGGATCCACTAACAATGTCTTATTTACGAGGCCTTGTCTTGTAGGTGGTATCATTAGTTTACATTGCAAAAGACAGCTGACTGTCTATGTTCCTGGGGTAGACTTCGAAACAAAAATCACTCCACGTTACAGGAGATTTTAAGCGAATTTATAATGACAGGCTGAAAAAAAAATGTTTAGATTGAGTTACGTGCATGAATTGTCACGCTCACTAGAGTTGCGCTAACTTTAGTTTTCGATAGAAGCCTTTTATTTTCTCTATGTGTGATTTACCAAGGATAAAGGGGGGTGCCTTTCTGCAGAAGCGTGTTTCGATGGCATACCATTTGTTGGGCGCACATATAAACTACCAGTTCTAGATGGCGAAACGTCCTCGTAAACTCACAGCAAAATATATGCCGGGCACTGTTTTTTTTTTCTTTGGGGGGGGGGGGGGGGGGGGGGGGGTCAGGTTTCTACTATCTCCATATAATTGTATCGCTAAAATAGTTAATTGCGGGGTTATTCTGCACGTTACAATTAATGCTATTTTTAGGTGAGTTGTGCTTTATATTTTGATAAAGGTGTAAAATATTTGGGTGTAGGGAACGCAATACTGTAATTAATATTTGAAAACTTTATCCTACCTTGCCCGCAGTTGTCTGCTCTAATGCGCGAAAAGAGGGGAGTATCACGATCTTTGATTATATTTTTAGTGAAAAAATCGGCCACCCATGAGTGGATTTTTTTCTTCTTTAGGATGCTTATAGCACGTATATTGAGCTGTCATCACAAATTATATTCTCAAAGTTCACTTAAGAGCTCCTCCGAAGCGCGACCTTACGAATTACCAGAAGAAAAATAGGCAGGCTGCTCTTTGTTAGATCGATGTGGCATCAATACGTAATTCAGCAATGGCGCAAATCAATTTCAGCTTTCGTATGTCTTATATTGACAAACGTGGCTTCTTAAGTGAAGTGTAGAGGGGAAAGCGTAATAAAGACAAAACAGGGATAAGCTAATGTTATCGATATTTTGTTTTGATTGTCATCAGGCGTGCGAGCCGCACAATGTACAAATTGTTACAACTTGTTTGTTAAAAAAAGATATTAGAGCTAACTAAACAAAACTATTATTTAATTTCTACTAAATATGTTATATTCAATGAGGGAAATCATGCACAGTTTATTGCATAATGAATATCCTCTACTGATTGCGCAAACTAGTTTTCAGTGAGCATTTATGCAAGTATTTTCTGAGCGACGTACGTGTACCTTGCCACGCACAATTTCCAACGATTTAGTTGTCTTATTATCCATCTTCAGGGATGCTTCAGCATCATTTTATATAATTGTTATTAAGTCATATTCTGAACGTTGCAACATAGAGAAATAATGAAATGAGATGTTTGGCAAATGGTCAAGCAAGTTAATGTTTCTTTTGTGCAAATATATTACACTTTTCTATCTGTTTCTACAAGTAGAGAACAACGCTCTTTGTGTAGTCTGTGTCAAACAAGTTTTAAGTAAACCGCAAGATGTTTGTTTATATCAGGTACGGCTTTGATCTCACAAAAGAAGAAAATGTGTGGGCTTTCCTGTTTGGCATGATGACCATGATGCTCACAAGGACGGGTATGGACCAAATGATGGTCCAGAGATTTCTTGCTGCCAGAACACTTGTCGAAGCACAGATGTGAGTATCCCAAATGACATGCTTTCCTAATTTTTCATGTCTTTTTTCTACTTGCTAACAAAGATGAAACAGGAGGAACGCGTAAACGACAGGTGGTTTAGTATTTATTAATTCTTGATCATCTACTAACCGCCTGGAATAAGAATTACATATTTGTGAACGTTTGAACAAATCAAGTCATTTCTCTGCTTTTTGTAGTAGTAAGGGTGATTTTAAATAATTTACGTAAATATGTTTCATTGCAGTAAGTTATAGGTCGAAAATACAACATAATTTAAACACGCAGTTTTGATTTATTAATTTGCAAATGCTATCTCTATAAAATGGGAACCCATTTCATGCTCATATCAGGTATGCCATTTGCGAATATCATATCTTGTGTTTTACAGAAAAGATTCTCCTGCTGTTTATACGTACATTAAAAAAACACTGTTAAATAATTGGTGAATGGATTGAAGACCTCCAACACGCCTATAAGTTTATTTATGTAATCATTACTTGAAAAGTCGGCTACGCTAATTTGGCGGCATAGACAATGCATAAGTGCCTGCTGAAATATTAATCAGCCTGTTGGCATCCTGGGTGTTATCAAGCTTAACTCGAATGCATTTTGAAAAAATCAACAAAATCACACACGAAAGTCAAGAACTTGCAAAATATTTGGAAAAGTTAATATTAAAAAAAACTATTTTAACCATCTATGTTAAGCGTATTATATGACAGACATTTACAGTGTCCTTTACTGCGTGCGTCCCTGTGAGTCTAGGCAGCTTATGTAGTGGTGCAACCTTCAAATTCCTGTGTTCAAACCAAGTTCCTGATTCAGTCCTTGAAAATATGTCCAGGGTTGCGATTGTTGGCATCCTACTCGTGATATTTGGATACACCGTGTTGTGCTTCATGGGTCTTGCACTTATATTCTGGTACCGGGACTGTGATCCGGTAGAATCCGGAAAAATCCACGGGTTCGATAAGGCAAGTACTTCAGATCACTGTCAGAGATGATGTTTTACCCAAAAATATTTCTTGACAGTTCAGCAGCGCAGTTTTCACTCCAAGAAAAGTTTAAGAGTGTAGACAGTGCACCCAGTAAAGGCGTGTTTTACCTTTTCAAGAAATGTTTCCGAAACAAGACATTTAATGTACCGTTAGTCTTTACGTAATATAGCCTGTATCTCCTCCTTTTATCTCCTTCATGTATCGTTGGAGCGACTTATATATGGCTCAAACTTTACTTAAGTGTATATAGTGCGACCAGACTTAACACAAGCATTCTTCTGGTGTAAGATAATTTTTTGGTATATTTTTTAAAGCTAGGATGCCTTTGAAGCCATATTCTTTACTATTTAAGTTTGGATTTTGCCGAGCTAACTGCAGCTATGTGAACTCCCCTTGTATGTCGATACTACTACCCGGATTAATGATTGCAGTAAGTTATCGGTCGAAAATACAACATAATTTAAACACGCAGTTTGATTTATTAATTTGCAAATGCTATCTCTATAATTGCCCAAGGGTTGTATTAGGAAGTATATTTGAGTGCATATACATTTAGGGTAACTGCAGTCTGTGAAGAAACAAATTCAAAACTAATTTAAGAGTCTACCAATTAACAGGAACAAAAACAAATTGGGAGCGACCTTTATCTCCGAAGTCCTTAATGCTTGCTAAATAGTATTTAAGGTCGGATCCTTTAAAGTTATTAAGAATAGACAACAATGATAATATTCTTTCGTTCGAGTGCCCTAAAACAACCACATCGGTCTTCCCCTTGGTGCACCAACACAAACAATAAAACAACCAAACAAACAAAAAAGGACTAAACGCACATAAAGTTAAAAGCCAAATGTAAGATTATCCAAATGGCGACGGTACATTGTAACTACGGTAGATATATCAAGGTGGGGTGGAGCGATGGCATTATATAATGACTGAATACAAGAGAGAGGTGAGGCATTGAACAGTGAGTGAACATAGAAGCAAACAATATGTCTGGCTAGACGTGAAGGAACATGAAAGTTCACCTTTTCAAGGAGTGCGGAGAATCAAATGCACCATTAGCCACCTTGTGCAGAAAAAGAGTCTCGAGCAGATCTCTTGGTAGACAGAAGTGAAAGCGAAAAGATTATAAGTATATTTTCATAATCATAGTAAAAGCGCCTCTCAAAGTATCTATTGAAAACAAATCGAATAAACTTTTTCTGATCATTTTTGATTGCTAAAGCATGTGTCTTAGATATCGAGCTCCATATGACAGAGGAAAACTCGAGTCGTGACCTTACTAGGGAATTAAAAATGTGGATCAATGAAAGGGGTTGTATAAAATTACGAGTCAAGCGAGATATGATTCATAGTGCTTTATAAGCATTTCCGACGAGTAAAGACACATGATTTTTTAAAGTTAAAGCACAGTCAACACACGGTCCAGGATCCTTTACCAGAGGTTCATGTTGTATTGGCGATCCCTCAACATAATAAGTAAAGTGAACAACAGCATGTCGCTGGCAGACGGAAAGCACCTTTGTTTTTGCGGGGTTAAGCAACAATTGATTTTTTTACACCATTGAAGAATGCTTGACACGTCATTTTTTAAGGTATCGCAATCTCACAAAATAACGTCGATCGCTTCGGGGGTAAAGAGCATTTATTTTAATCAAATTCCCTTATACAATGAGTGGGGAAACATTGATATTGTGACGTCAGGTCACGTGACGTAATTTGTTCCACTAAATATGGAGGGTGGACTAAATATTTGCACAGGTCACGTGACGTCGAATCACGTTAAATCAGCTTTCCCGCTAAATTTGGTGGAGTAAACTGAACTGATGTACAGGTCACATGGCACATGTATGTATATGATATATACAATTTGTGTATGCGTCACGTAACTTAACGTCACGTGACTATAAACCGATTCGGGCTTCCCGCTAAATTTAGTGGGAAATGTAAGGACGAACGAACGGGCGGACGGGCAAAGTTTTATGATTGGGGATTCCATTAAAAAAATAATTCAGCCTTTACTTTATAACTGTGCTCAATTTGACCGAGTAGTCTTAGTTTAAAGAACTGAGTCGCCCATTTAGACATAATATGAAGCTAACATTTAGAAATTGGTTTAAATATTACAGAGAGGTAATAACATTTAAAATTAAAATAATTAAACGTGTTATTAAGAGCACTACGGCAATAAAACTTGACAATGCCCCAGAGAAACAATTTGGCCCTGGAAATTCAGTTTGAAGAAATAAGCTCGTGACAATATTTCTTAGATGTAATCACGAAAATAATATCAATAGGGCGCTCAACGCCAAATCATTTCTTGGAAGCACTCAAGTGACGTATTTGGTTCATTCTGAATATTTGCACAAAAAAATCTAACTTCGGAAGCCAGCATTTTTTGAGTGCATATGTGTAAATTGAAATCATACAATGAATGTTATAAGATAATAAAACCATTTTTTACATCTCCGAAGGGTGTTTTTAAAAGCCATATGTACGTAATCAGTTATACCAACAAAATAAATTGAAAATTAACCACGATGTTTCTGCCAAAATCCGGCATGTTTTTCATTGTTCTTACAACTTTCAGATTGTTCCTCATTATGTGAATGAAAATTTTGCTGAGTTTACTGGACTCAGAGGCCTGTTCCTGACAGGTATAATTGGAGCTTCTACAAGGTTAGTGATGCACAACCTATAAGCAAGAATATAAAAAAAAGAAGTGTGTCTCTTTAGCCTCTGTAAAACGTTTTTTTACAAGCGCTTATAAAATAAAACAGAGTATAGCTCTAATTTTATTGGGATAACATCCCAATACAATAAAAATGTGTTCTTTTTATTCAGTGCCCAAAAATAGCCTGATGGTTCTGAGGTAAAAGTGAATTGGTGCATACTTAAAACTAGACTCATATAATGAGTTAACATATAGACACATACATATACAATAAAACGGTTGGTTTGCGACAGGTTAACGGCATGAATATATGTTTTTTTTTGTGCATGCAAATATGTTGTATTTAAGAGGCTATTTGAAATTTAAACCAACTCTCCAGTTCTCCCAATTTAATGATGAACTTAATATTTTCTAAAGAACACGCCAGAAAATTTGAGCTGCTTTCACGATGGCTCTAATCTGGTAAATTTGGAGTACTACTTCCGCCATAGTGAACAACCCAAATTCCGTTCTAAACCAAATTCACGAGCATATTTTTTTCTTTGAAATCTTTGCTAAGTAAAAAAAAGTGGTGGAAAGATTTCTTAAAGGGTTGCCTTTTCAGCCTCCCAGTTGTAAAAATGTGTATGCGATCTTTTCGCTGTACCAGACAATATTGTAACGGAATTGTGTTGCATGTTAAGTCATATATTCCAAAATATATTGAAAGGAGAGCAGAAAAATCTGTATCCGGTTAAATGGCATTTCCTGGCCACTCATAACGATTTTCACTCGGTGAATTGTTTCCATATCGCCTCGATGACAGATGTCAGTTGGAGCAATCTCATGAGCGTATATGAAAATTTTAATTCACCCAAAAACTTACGGCAAAATGTAGGAAAATGTTCAGATCTCTATTTGAACATCGATATATCACTATATGTGTTAATATGAAATGCAGAAGGCTGTCTATGAAATGCGTAGAATCCCAAAAGATCGGTGCAGTTTTTTGAATAAAATGAATGTTTCACTCATTGAGAAATCTTCACCAGTCTAAAAATATAATCAAGGCAGTGGAAAGTATAGATCTAAACTCCGGACCCAGTTCAGAAATTCCCCACACCATGTCTTCTATTGCTGCATTATGAGCCGCCTTGGTGACTCCGAGGCGAGAGCGCTGGCCTACGGATCCCCATGTGGCGGGTTCGAATCCCGGCCGAGGTGCCCGCAATCTGACGGAGGCTTGTTGCGGAGGAGGCGCCGTGTAACCGAGCTTTCGGTTGCACGTCAAAAGTTCCCCAGGTGGTCCAAATTAATCCTCAGTCCTCCGCAGGGGCGTGCCAAATGCCCGTCGTTGGTTTGGCACGTAAAACCCCCAAATTTGAAAATTGCTGCGTTTATGTTATTTCTAGTTTTAGGGAACAGTTACAGTAAAAAGTATCAAATTTGGCGAAGTGTCAGTTCTGTGTTTTAGCGTGTAAAACATTACTCTCAGTTACTTATTTTGGGTATAGGGTTTGCCAAGTGTTTTAAGCACTGCTTAAAACACTTGGCCTGTGTTTTAAACAGTGCTTCTGTTCCTGTGTTTATTAAGGAGTTTATATGTGTAGAGAGGGGGGAAATTGTTGGAGGCTGAAGGCTACTTGAAGAGTTTTCAGATTGGGGACGGAAGTGATATCAGCGGCACTTACAATTTATTGAGTAAATTCTTGTTAGAAAATTTCACACGTGCTCTGTGGTTCCCTACTCATGTCGGCATTCGTCTCTTGTTTGTAAGGCGAAGTAGAGCTCTAATGTTCAAAATATTCATGCCGATATGAACGTGGTCGAAAACGTATGTGTAAAATACGTGCATCTCATGCACTCATCTCGCGTGGGTGTTTTCCCATAAGTTTGAGCCACCATGTGCATTGACCGTTTTTAATGTTGACCAAAAAGGATGTTTAGTTCAATCAGAGATCGGCGAAAACACACAAAAACACTCCTATTCCTTTCCGGAAAAAAATTTCTGAACGGGCAACATTTAAACGAACACACAGAGCCCACAGTGGTTTCTGTGATTGCGCAAAGTTGGCATTTCGGGCACGTCCCCTAAAACAACTGCGTGACTGTGGCCTATAAATATTTACTGACAAATTAAGCATAGAGAGGATTCACCCAAATTATTTACCACGGACTACCGACGTCTTGAGTATGCAAGGAAAATGGCAGATCAGGCACATTGCGCAATAAGGCTTATAATAATTACTTTCGTCATAACTATAAATGCTAGGATTTTCAAACTTGAGAGCGTTTTTCCCTGTTCGTAATTACGCTCTTGAAGTAATGAATTTGTCAGCTGGGTGGAGCGCAAGTTTGGCAGCTTCTTTTGCAGGAGCTGTGGTGACTTCAGAACGCCGAGCTCTGATTGGCTTCGATTGAAGGATAGTAACTAGACCTCAAAGCAAGCTGTCTTTAGGTTTGTTTGTTTGTTTCTTTTATTTTATTTTTTGACACAATTGTCGCTGTCCTTCAATCGGAGCCAACGTTACTAGATTACCTTATTTGTGGAACTCCCGCGGAGGGGGGCACCCCACCGCACTCACTCCAGTTCGCCTTCCGTCGTTTGAAGCGCCATCTAGATTTTCGTTTCAAAACTGTTTGTTTCGGGGGGTACGGTGGAACGCCATCTAGACGGTGAGCTTCAAAGCAAACATATTGTATAGAATACACTTCAGTTCCCATAGCAGATGTCCGTAGCATCGAACGACGGGAGGCGATCTGTTTTGAGAAGGGGGCACTGCTTGTGCAAGCACCGTCTATGAGCAGTTCCGTAACTGAGCTAATCTAATAACATTGATCAGAGCCAATGAGAGCTTGGCGTTCTGACGTCTCCACAACTCATGTAGAAAAAGAAGACGATCTTACGCTCTGCATGGGTATGGCAGTGCGTTGGCATCGATTCGGCCAGATTTTTTGCTTCATAGTTTCAAAAACACAAAAATAATGCAACATGATTTTTTGCAGATTCTCTTAGCACATTATCTTAGCACATTTCAATAAACTTATACTGGAAAAGTCTGTAGAAAACCCAATATACCCAGTTTTAATTGATTTTCCAAATAATTAATCTTTAGTAGAATGGCCACATTCGAGCGTATCCAGTAAATTTGTTACGCTAACTGGAACCACAAGATGTAGCACAAATATAACAAAATGCAAGCCAACCTGCTGGCAAAGTTTGAAAATCCTAGCATTTGTATAAATGGGACGAAAATAAAATCGATATAAGGCATTACTAAGTAATGTGCCGAGGTTGCGAGCTTTCCAAACGCACTAAGGACGTCGGTAGTCTGTGGTAAATTCTAGACTCTTAACTCCAGCAGTTGTTTTAGGGCACGTAACCGAAACGCCTAGTTAGAGCAATCAGCAAAAAACGCTTCGGACGAGAGTGTTCTTTTGATTTTTTTTTTTTCCTATAGACGAAAATATTTTTTTTTCCTTTGAAAAACAAAATTTGGTTTTGTTTCGGCGGGAACTGAGTCAGTAAAATATTTTTTTTTCCATCAGAAAGAAAAATGATCACGGGAAATGATCGGCCGAACTTATCTGGAACCCTGTGGTCTTTATTATCTTCGCGGTAATGGCGAAACCGAATACGCAACAGTAGCATCTAAGAAGATAACGGGTCAATGGCAGGCCTATGCCGTTATTTCTCTCTCTTTTCTTTAGATACAGTGTGGTGACAACGGAGGTTATACAAGACATCCTTTTTTCTAATGAAAACAATATTATACAGGCTGTCCAAAAATACTGGTTTTTGTCGGGGTATTTCTGGAATCGTGTAGAGACACAATGTAAACCCGGATGTTGCCAACGCGGGAAGGCACAGAACCCATTGTCGACTTGGAACTTTAGAAGCAGAAAGAACAAAAGAGAGGGGACTCCCAGATTCACCAGTTCTCCAAGAAGCACAACGCTGCCGTTCCATTCAGCGTCAGTATAATTTCCCTTCAGCGTTGCCGGAGATGTATTCTCAATGAAGTCCGGAAACATGGCTGATGAAAACTTGGAGAGGCAGCCACTGCTCAAGTGCAACGACTACTAAAAAAAAAAGACAATAAATCATAAACCAAAAGCAGCTGTGCATTTATTTGTTCGTCAAAGTAACGAGAATAGTTACTGGCTACTTTTGAGAAGTAACACGTTCGTTTTGAGAATCGATAACCAGTAATGTATTTAGTTACTTTTTGAGCCAGTAACGAGTAATAGTATTTAGCTGCGGTTTTGAATAACGTGTACATGTCTGCCCCTACCTCAGTAAACAATTATTGGTTATTTTCTGAACATCTCGATTGGAAAATAGGGCCCTTTTTTCCCGTTTTCAGTACCTGGCGTCATTCAGCTGCGTGTATTTAAAAAATCCATAGGGCGCCATTTTCCCATTGCAACTTTAAGAAAACCAGTTATAAGCTACGAATGCGACAGCGGTTAGTGCTAAAACCTTGACATATGGTTCGGACCAGTAGCGATACATTCCGACGGAGAATGAGCGTTCCGTCGTGTATATAATATATACTTGTGGTTAGAAAACAAATCTGTAACTTTTGGAGGGGGGGGGGGGGGGGGGGGCATCCTGCACTACCAGAGCGTAAAAATAATCAGTCTAGGTTTTTTTTTTTTTATACAACGTAGGAAGTATCTCTAATTAAGAACACATACTGAGTTCTGAATATAAAACCCCTCTGTAAGTACGATTTTTTTTTTCAATTTACGAAATATGAAGAGTGTTGTTTATTGTGTACATACCGTCGCATTACCGGAAGGACAAAGCTTAAAAACTAAAATTACAGCTTGCTCTCTCCATATTCACTCTCCTCTAAAATTTCTCTATGAACCTTTGTTAAACACGAAATAACATCCCCATTTGCGTTTTTTTCTTTCAGCACCATTACTTCAATCATCAATTCCCAAGCTGCAGTACTTTACGTCGACGTGGTGTCCCAATACTTCAAGCTCACCGAGCAACTGGCCCTGAGAACAGTGCAGTTATTGGGTATATCAAGGATAAACGAAAAATTCATGTTTATTTACTAATTTAAATTTTTACAAGATGTCGGGGGTACAGGCGAGTAGCCACGGAAAAATGCGGTTTGACTGGGTCTGCATCCTCCCCTTCTCGACTCCCACACACACATGTGCACACGAGAATTATCACAAAATAATTTATCACAAAGCTATTTAAGAAATACTTAGAAAAGCACGTGGTATTTGCAAAGCGAACGCGCGACAAAATATGTGTTAAAAATAAAGCAAAAACACCATGACGAAAATAACTAACATAAGTAAAGTTGGGCAGTAACTGAAAAATTCAATTATATTTTAACGATCGACAGAATTGAGCAAATTACAACATGAGAGGCAGCAATTATTTTCTATAGTTAGAGCGAGCGTGAGAAATGTACCATGTTTCGCTGTGGCAAGTGTTATATGCTTCTCAGTTTATTATTAAATATAATAATGGTACAATCAATTGGATATTTTTTTCTGCGTAATATGGTTTGAGTTTTGTGCTTGTATAAATAAATTGAAAAATATACATATTCCAAAGCTTCTGAAAATCGGTTCTATGTGAGCATCATATTTTGAGTTAGAAATAGGGCGCACAGTTAACGTGACAGCAGTTAAGGTGAAAAAAAGCGATTTGTAATTTACCAATTTTATGTCGATGGGCAGAAAACAACTGGTATAGCGCCTTCTTAAGTTATCTATAGTCGGTGACAGGTTAAGAACTAGGTAGAGATTCGGTTCCAGCTCTCTGTGTTTGATAACACTTTGTGGTATACCCAGCCCAAATCCGCCGTAAGGCAATGAGGCACTAAGAATGTGCTGGAGACAGAGCTTTTACTGGGACCACCCACGATAAACTGATATATCGCATCAAATTGACATCCCTACACGAGGCACAAAAACGTCTTCATTGTTATTGCGTATGAATGACTACGAAAACATAACAAAACATTGACTTATGTTATTACAGTATAACCTGCCTAATCCTCAATTACTTTGTTGCAGCCCTCACCAGTGGAGTTATCATGACGCTATTCGGAATTTTGGTTCCGCATCTTGGCAGTGCCGCGAGGGTAAAAAAAATCATAACCCCCTTTAATTAAAAAAAAAAACTCGGTGTGGAATATGAATTTATTATTGGTGCGAATCTGATTAAAGCAAGCACCGCCAGTGGAGAGCGTCCAATTTCAGACAAATTCGAGCAGTTTATTATGACACATTTTGTGTTCAAATTTCTTGCAGAAATGTTTGACTTTCCTCTAAACATTTATCATTGTGGTTGGCGAAACCATTATGTTCAAGCTGCTCAGAAGGTTTCACATTTTCTGTTCACCCGCACTGATAGACTTTGAATATATTAATTATTTTGCGATTCCAGATCATTCTTGTTTTGTATGTTGGCCTATCTGGTCCCTTCGTTGGAATTGTTATTCTGGCCTTGGTGTTTCCATGGGCCAATGCTAAGGTAAAGTTATTACCATGTGCCTCATTTGTGCGCGTATTCTCGTGATCACTGTTAACTGATTTCATACGTTCTCTGCTATTTATCACGCATTGCTGATAATTCTAGATCATAGATAATGATACTACACCAAATGATACATGCCTTATTACATCTCTCAGATATTCGGTCTAAGAAATTTTTGAGCTATTTTTATATAAGAGTATTTTTGTGTAATACTCTCGCTATAAAATATTTATTACGTGACCACATCCACATTTTTGCGGAAACTGACCAAGCGTAAATATTACCGGTAGAACAGAAAGCCCCCGAAAACGAAAGATAACAAGAAGAAGTACACACATAAAGCGCTGAATAAGTTGAGAGTCAGCGCTTCGTGCTTACATGCATTTCGTTTTCTTATCCTTAGTTTTTTGGCGCTCTTTATTTTACCATTAACGTATGTGCCATGTCGCCTAACTTTCAGCCCTAACCCAGGGGTAAAAATTTTAATTTTCCGAATACAGCCTAAAAAAAAGCAAGTCAAATGAAAAAAAAACTTTTTTCTAGCATATCATAGCGTTTCCTTCCAGGGATGTGGCACTAAAACCTACTAAAACAAACATATAACTACTTATTTAAATATTAATGCAGAAGACACACAGCAAAAGTTGTCTGTTTACCTGAGAAAAAATATTTTTGTGAAAATAAGATTATTGCTATGAAATATGTCGCACACTCTTAGAAATAAATCAGAAGTGTTGAACACATTGAAACATTTAGATGTTAAAAGTAATAAATTCTAAGAGATATTCTTTAGAAAATATTTACTTTACTATTGTCTCGTCTAATTTACTTCGCGGCAAACAAAAAAAAATACAATGCAAAAGCATGTTTTATGATTATTAAGTTTAGGTTTCACATTGGATTGCACACAGCGCATAAGCCCTTTACAGCGGCACAGCCTTCCAGTATAATGCGGTGAACGTATATCTGAAGTATACGTCGATCGCATCATCAATTCAGTCGAAGTCAGGTGCTGAACGTGTTTGAGTAACGACATTCGTAATTCTGAGACAATGTATTCATAATTTATTAAGGTGACTCGTAAAATGTTTATTTCAATGAGGCAATGATTCTGAAAAGCATGAAGGGTTTGTTCCCGTCACAAACCTATCCGTGGTGCAACCTTATACGTAGAATATAAAACCATTTCCGAAATTCAGCCTGGCTATTTAGTGTATAGCATCTGTCATATGTCATTGGCCACATTTGAGTGTCTGGTGAAGAAAAAACTAGAGATACACCAAAGCGTATGACGAAGCCTCTGCATTTTAGACACCAGAACAATGTGATGACTGAGTTACGTTTACCATCAGTTTATTTCCAAACACTGAAACTTAAACGAATGAAGAAAGAGATGAATGTCGAAGAACACATTCCCACCTGCCACTAAAGCTCGAACTTCACGACGACAGAAGGATTACTATATGTTTACCACCATTACCATGCGATAAATGAGACCGATATTTGAACCAATGGATGGCCCTAAAATATTTAGATCTACTGTTGGCGTCGCATCAAAAAACAGTGTTTCGCCATCTGTATGTTTTAAATGTAAAACGCTTTGTCAGGTGCCAAACTGAAGAGCTTTGGTGACTATAAAATGTGTTATGCATTCGAAAATTTTTCAAATCTGTAGCAGAGGTGTAGGACATCAAAGAAGAGGCTTATCGATTGCGACACCCCAACTGCTCGTGCTGTGTACATGCACCGAGGAACTGAAGGAGAGGAGACAAGAGCGCTCGAGGACTTCACAACACCAAGCTTTTGTTGGAGTGATTACGGGTCGACATAAAGCCACCGGATCCCCGGGAAATAGCCCCATTGCCTTCCCTGCCAGTTAGCCGAGGACAAACAAATACTAACATACCGACGGCCAAAACATCTTACGGCGATAGGCTAATGGGTATCCGTTCCTATGACAATCACCATTTTAACCCCTTCAAATATCCGAAGCCTTGAGGGATCGTTCTAATCCAGTCGCACCAAAATTATCATGAAGCATCATCCCACTGAAGGCGTTTCTCGCCAATACAAACGTCTTTGGCACTGTGTACGCAATCAAATTATCAATCATGCGCATCTCCACGGAGCTCTTACAATTATATTATTCGTGAGTATTTCAAAACAGAAAAAATTATATTGCAATGCCTCCAAGCACTGACACCGCATGTAGTGGTGGTACGAACATGTAGAATGCTTGTTTCGCCGGTGTGTGGACACCAAAATCTCGGTACATAAGAAGCGTCTACCCGTTACCAAAGAATTTAGATCGGCTCACCAAGAATAGAGACTTTGAGGAGAAATTTCTCATTTCATGAGCCAATATGGCGACCATGCGATGGTCATGGTGCTACTTTCACACAATCTAGTTCCTCTAGATCGACCTAGACTCACTAGGTCGACCTAACGCTAGCTGCCTTTGACCGAGTTCAAAACATTACTTAAACTTACTCCAGGGTAAGGGTCTTGCACCTTGACGTTCGCAAACCTACCCGCGTCCAGCGTTGCTCTATCTGTGTTGTGACGTGACACGACCCGCGGGAGAAACTCGGGTCTATTTGAGTAACATGTGGAACACAGCAGTTATATCTCCTATACTGCACTTGCAAATGAAATGCAAGCAACTCCTGATACACGGGTCAAGCTGCTGGCTGCTTAGGTGAAAACTCAGCAAGGGCGGGGTATGGTGGAGCCAAAGAAGCCACAGTTGGGTTTTCATCTTCTTTCGAAGTACACATGACGGATCCGGAGTCGGAGAAGCCAATAGAAAGCAACCACACCCAAGAGATATAGTTTCGGCGCGAGGCACCGGGCTTCACGCGCGATACGGAACCCAGTAAGCACTGACACTGTACATACTGGAAGGCGAGCCCGGGTATCACTTGCTTCGTCGCCAGTTGTCATATCTCAGCATAGGAGATATAACTTCAGTAACTGATGAAAGATCAAATGGTATGGCCAGGGGCCAGTACGCGATAGTCAGGCGGTGTCTCGTCGCTCTGCCTGGTCTGTGGCGCGAGCTCCCCGAGACGCGCGTGGAAACAAAACAGAAACCTCTGGAGGCGTTATATCTGAATACACGACAAAATCCTTTGTCTCCATTGCAATCGTCAAACGCGTTCGAATGCGAGAGCCAAATTCCGGACGCCGGCCTTCCGCCTTCTAACGCGTTTGACGAGTCATCGAGAAACGGAGAGAGATTGGGGGACGAGAGTGTTCGGAGATGCCAGAACGCCGAGCTCCGGTTGCAATGATTAGTGGGGTAGACTTAAAGGATTTTTGTCTTCACCGCACTTGTCGAACGCATTAGAACGCGAAATGCCAGTGTCCGTTGTTTGGCTTTCGGATTCGAACGCGTTCGACGAGTGCAGTGGAGAAACAGGCATCTAGCGTTAGGTCTACCCACTAATCATTCTAACCAGGGACCAGAGTTCTGACAACCCCGGGAGCTCTGATCTCCTTATTTCTCTCAGTTTCTCGCCGCCTACCTCCTAGAAGACAAGCACTAAGCCCCCCCCCCCCCCCCAAACTTTAGCCTGTTAAGGTCCGCTTCAGACGGAGCAATTTTACCCAGCAACTTGACGTCGCAACACCAGCAACACCGGCCGCCCGCGTTCACACGCAGCAACCGAATCGCTCCGACTTGCCATCATCATCATTAAATTTCATTCTTCTTCCACTATTTAAACGCCCAGCTACGCGCTAAAAACGCGTTCTTACATCTTTCAATGGCTTTGAGAATACTAAATCATTTTTCTGAAACTGTTTATTTCCGAAAATGATCCATTCCAAGCCAGAACTAAGTCTTTAGCTGTCATCATCACCACCGCAGGGGTGTCACGTGAAAATATCGCGTCTCTGATTGGCTGCAGCCGCTTCAACCGTCTTCGAATTGCTCCGAGTTGCTCGCTTGTTCGAGCCGGATCCGATCTCAGCAATTCACGTCGATCTAGGGAAAGCTAGGGAACAACCCGCCAGCAATCTAAAAATTGCTGGAAAAGTTGCCCCGTCTGAAGCGGGCCTAACCACCTTGAGGCAACTCAGCATACTATTTACGAGGACGTCATCAGCGGGCATTGTCTTGTAGATAGTAATGGCTGCGCCCCTGTGACCGGCGAAGAACGGTGGCGGACGCGCGAGTGCGAGCGGAGAAATGGAGCAGATCTCTTCGACCATACCTCGTAGATGGCCACATAATTTTTTTTCCCGCATCACGGCACAAACATCACCCGCGAAGGCTAGTTTATGCGTGCTGCATCTCAAGCCTTCTATCCGCTCTGCCGTGGCACTCCTTCTTTGCAAAGTACGAAATTAGATCAGCTAAGAGCAAAATTTGGCAGGGAGATGCAGATAACAACACTATTCTGGTATATCCGTTTGTAATTAGTACTCAAAACGAAATCGTGTTTTCAAACAGTAAAATTATTCTGGTTGTCAATTACCGACCGCGTCCCACGCACAAGCTGTCTTTGTTTATGTGGGTACGAGAGAAATGCATTCAAGAAATATTGTACTGTATTGTATTGTATTTGATTTTATTGTGTGGTTCCTCGTAACGCTGTGCTCCATACTTATACCGCATGACTCTGTCCCGGTATGGAGGCGTGAGTGTGCATTTCCGCAAGGTTGAATGATTATGTTACTTTAAACTTAGTAAATGCCAGTTTTTTTTTTCTTTAAACTTCGCTTATTAGTCGCGTGGGATCTAATCTACGAAGTCCAATAAATGAAATAATTTAGAATGTCAACCGCTGAATATTTTTGCATACCTTTTATTTACTTTAATATCAGTTTTCATATTACCGGTTTTATAATTTGAATTATATTCTTGCCAGCAGATAAACAGAACTTTTCCATCTGAATTTAGCGTGGCTAAATTACAAATTTCAAATGGTGTAAACATTTCAAGCTGTTTTTATTTTCACAGCCCTGACAAAAGCTCTTAAAATTTCAGAACG